CATTAGCACCTCTAGTAATATATTTACTGAGAAAAATGGTGACGTGTTCAATACTTATTTTACCTGCTGTATGTGGTTTAAAGTGACAGGAGTGGACCGATGAGTCAGCAGTAACAGATTTTCTATCGGACCTTTGTGCTTCTGAGCCGAGTCAGAGGGCAAAGCTTTCCATGTGAGGTCCAACCCCCTCACCTGAGGTTGTAAGCTCTTTATGAGTTTTTCTCTGTGGGGCGGCTCGGTTCTGCCGTCCAGTCTGGGTTCAGAGGAGAGCGACCGCTGCTTTGTGTGGAAAGAACCAGACTGAAGTGGTTTTAGTTTCTGATTTTAAACCTTTCTGCTGCTGAGAGCAAGGCTCAACTAAACCTGGGTTCCAATTAATTAATCTGAAAAAGTGATCCTACCTTTGTCCTAACCTTGATTATAGCTTCATGAGGTTAGAGAGTTCAAATCTTTGTGTAAATGTAATGAGTAATAAATATCTTACCTGCTCTATGATCAACTTTAGTTTGGAGAACAGGGTCAAAACCAAAGTGGACTGCTGCCATCTTGATAAAAAAAGTTTCACATCAGACAGGTTTTCTAATATGTTCCTAACAGATCCCCCCGAGCTTTGAGAGTGCTACAGCTAGCTGCTGCTGCTTGTGCTCCCAAATAACCATAGAAATCATTGTAAAGATGGCAGTGTTGAGGTTTATAAAGTAATTTGAATCGTTTAAATTATTTAAAGGCCAGTGAGAACTAAACTTTTTTTATTCAAAAAGCTATCCATAACAGGTAAGATATTAACTAAGCTTTTGCAAAGAACCCCATTTAACAGATCCCTTTAAACAAACCTGTTAAAAGATGTGGTTTCTCTCAAAGGATGATTCACTGTTTGCCACGCTAAATGATTAAAAAAAGTCCCATTTTACAGAAATAATTTAGATTCTGSAGTTTTTCCACCCTGTTAGAAGATGAATAATTCAGCTGAAGCCTGGATGATGCACACACAGAAGTGAAGAGGGAGGAGAGGAAGAGGATGGTGACGGAGTGGAAACTCAAACTAAACACGTCGGCTTCAGGACGGGGAGGGTCTGAAACGTCAGCAGGTTTCCCCTCTTGCCTCCTCTCCTCTCCCTGGTGCTCGCAGCTCACACGGCTGTCGGACAGGAAGCTGCTCACYATGTCAGCAAACTCCGATTTAGTCAAAGTTTTTACAAAGATCCATACGTGGACAAGTTTTCTGCTGTGAGGACGTGTCTTTAACTGGATTGGATGCCAACTGAAGAGAGATTTGACAGTTTGTGGAGCGTTTCCCTGCTGCTGGAGCCTCGGCTCAGTGGAGTTGAACCACGCAGATTTTTCCTTTCCCTTTATTGGAGATGAGATCCAGTTTCACGCAGGTGAAGCCTGGAGCTCCTCAGGACAGTTTCAGTCCAAAACAAGAGTTTTTGTCCAAAATGGAGCTCTGATGTTCTGAAATTCTGAAACAAAGGCATCAGCAGGGTTTGTTGTAGAGATAAATATGTTTAGCTCTGGAAGAAAAACAAAATTGTCTTGGAAAAAATAAAAAAAATAGTTGATATTTAAAAATGGTTTAAGTTTTCGGGTTCATGTTTGGTGCTCAGTTTGTTGATTGTTTGATGCTTTATTCTTATATTTTTATACTTTATCCTGACTTATGTGAGATAAAGTACAGGTTTAGATTTAAGTTGATTTTATGCTTTAAGGTCTTTCTTTGTATTTTGCATGCAGTGTTTTCATTTGTTAATCTGACCAATTGTTTATAAAATATAGGATTCTAAAGTACATTACATTGATTAAAACTTATTTATTGTATCATTAATACAATTATTTATAATGTTTATGTACATAATTATCACTTTAAATTAGGAAATGGTGCAGTAATCATTAATCATATTCAAAGTTAGTTTTTCCACAGAACCCCACTTCAAAAGATCTGAACTGACTCTTTAAGACAGGATCAGCTGGAACCACCTGGGGTTGACAGAGACACTCAGAGGGACCGGTCCAGGTGTGGTTTCTATAGTCCAGATTTTGTTTTCACGGGAAGAAACTCAAAGTAAATCACATTAATGGGAGCAAAGTAAAGTCAGAAATGGAGTGGATAGTTTGTTGTTCTGCACTTTGAGCCTATAGCAGCAGAACTAAAGGAAGACTCAGGAAACCCAAACACTGACTACAGGACTTAAAGAGTGTCAGCCTCACGGACAAAAACTGGAAGATKCTTCCACAAGAGAGGAGCCTGATGACTGAAAGCTCTGCTTCCCATTTTAGAAACTCTAGGAACCACAAGTAAACCTGCAGTCTGACACTGCTCTGTTAGGAATTTTATTTATTTATTTAAAAATAAAAAACATCGAACAGGATCTTAAACTGGAGCTTTGGTTGTTGGAGCTCAGCAGTAGGGTTCTGTTTCTGTCAGGAGCCTTTTTAATTAGTTAGAACCACTGAAGTCAGAATACCTCCCCCACCTTGTAATCTCGCCCCCCTACACTTCTATATATATCAATCTGCCTCAGCTCCAGGGACGTGTGTGTGTGTGTGTGTGTTTGAGCGGAGCTGCCGGCATGAACAGGATGAAATATTCAGGTGACTCTCAGACTCTCTGCTTTGGGAAATTTCTCTTCCTCTGTTGGGACCTTTGGTGCAGATTTTGCTTATTTTTTTTTGTATTTTATTCAAACAAAGGTTGTGCACAGGACACGTGTTCCTCCCTGACTCTAGCTGCACAGACAGAAGCGGAGGATGTAGCCCACAGGCTGAGAGCACTTTGTGCATTATTCACCAACCACTTTTAGCTTTCCCCCATTTTTCTTCTTCCAATGAAGCAGTTTTTTTTTACCTCAACTAGACCTGCTTAGGTTGAACGATGAAACTGATGTTTATCTGAGCACCTGGGTCCTTCAGTCCATACAAGCAGCACAGATTGATTGATTGTCAGAAAACAAGGCKGTGATTGATCAACTGTTTCTTATTGCGACAGCACCACTCAGGACTGGAGGACATCAGTCCCAGTGAGGAGGTGACGGACACGGAGGACAATGAGGAGGAGGATCTGGGGGTTCTGGACGACCAGCGGAGCATCATTCTCCACCTGCTGTCTCAGCTCAAACTGGGGATGGACCTGACCCGGGTACGGCTCAGACTCTGTAGCACACGAGACCCGACACAAAGAGTTTCATCTCAGTTTTCTCTCTAGGTGGTGCTGCCCACGTTCATTTTGGAAAAGCGCTCGCTGCTGGAGATGTACGCCAACTTCATGGCCCACCCGGACATGTTTCTGTCCATCACCGCCGGGGCCACAGCCGAGGACCGGATCGTCCGCTTCGTGGAGTACTACCTGACCGCTTTCCACGAGGGGCGGAAAGGCGCCGTGGCCAAGAAGCCCTACAACCCCGTTCTGGGAGAGACCTTCCACTGTTCGTGGGAAGTCCCTCGAGATAAAGTCAAACCGTTGGTCCGGTCAAACCAGGGGACCCCGGGGAAGAACCTGAACAACGAGGACTCGGCAAGAGGGTGCCACAGGGTCCGGTTTGTCGCCGAGCAGGTGTCCCATCACCCACCGGTGTCCGGGTTCTACTGCGAGTGTCGAGAGCAGAGGATGTGCGTCAACACCTATGTCTGGACCAAGAGCAAGTTCATGGGCATGTCTATAGGTGTGTCCATGGTGGGCGAGGGTGAGTTCTTCCACACTTTGATTATATCAGATGTAATGGCTCTACAGTGGTGTGATTTCTTATTCTTTTATATATTTGTCACATTTAAATGTTTCAGGTCACCAAACAAATTTTAAATATGAGACACAAGTAAACAATTATTAAAGGGAAAAGCAATCCAAACAAACAGAGCTCTGTGTGGAAAATGTCCCTTAAATCTAATGACTGGTTGGGCCACCCTCAGCAGCAACAACTGCAATCAAGTGTTTGCTGTAATTAGAGGAATCCTGGCCAATCATCCTTGTTGTAATTCAGCCATATTTGGGAGTTTCCGAACATGAACCACCTTTTTGAAGTCACAGCTTCTCAATCTGATTTAGGTCAGGACTTTGATTAGGCCAATCCAAAGTCTTAAATTAGTTAAGCTTGCTGGTTTGTTTTTGATCGTTGCTGCAGAACCCAAGCGGTCTTCAGCTTAAGGTCACCAAGAAATAGCCGAACATTCTCCTTGAGGTTTTTTATTTGGTAGACCGCAGAATTCATGCTTCCCTTTACCACAGCAAGTCTTCCAGGTCCTGAAGATGCAAAACAGCCCCAGACTATCCCTCTACCACCACCAAGTTTTACTGTTGGGTTGATGTTCCTTTTCTGAGATGCTGTTACTTCTACACCCGACCTTCTCCCAAAAGTCTTGCAGATAATCAAGATGTTTTCTAGCAAAACTGAGACAAGTGTTTATGTTGTTTTGCTCAGTGGTGGTTTTGGTTTTTGTCTTGGAACTCTTGGCCCAGAATCTCTTATGGTGGCATGATGACGCCTGTAGTTTTTGGAGAATGTGGGGTCTTTCTGACCTCTTGGGGTAATCTTGGTCGACCGGCCACTCCTGAAGGGTCACTACTGTTCCACACTTTCACCATTTGTGACAATGGTTCTCACTGTGGTTCACTGGAGTCTTAAAGCTTTAGAAATGATTTTATAACCTTCTCCAGACTGATAGATGTCAGTTTCTTTAGAGGATTTCAACTTTTCGGGATGTTTTGGTTTACTTTGTCAGGAAGGCGGCAAACAATTTTTCACGCCACTGTACTAATATAATTCAGGCGGTTCTTTTTGGTTTTACTTGGAGTCCAATCTCAGTTTGTAGTTCAAAGATCTGAGCTGTTATTAACTCTTGTTTTTATCTCCCACAAGTCAAGTCTTTGTGTCATTCCCTCCTCCTGCAGCAAAATAAAAAAAACAAACAGATGTGCTCCTGTAAACATGAGGCCGTGACTCGAGTCGAATACATCCAGGCTGTTGGTGAATCACATGTTAAAGTGGACGGGTTTTAGAAAAGAACACCCTGCAACTAAAAGAAAACTGCTTGTTTCAGATATTTGGGATTTTATTAAATATTTGCAGTAGTGGGCAGCGCTAGTCCAAAAATTAACTCCGCAATTTCTAAAGCTCTTATGAAAATATTTAGGTCCGCAACTTCAAAAGCACTTATGCCATAGAAAAACTAACAGAAGCTAATTTTACAGCGCAAGTTCAATTTGACACTTACTAACTGGCAATAATTCATGTACAATATATGTACAACACTGCCAACTAGCRGCGTATAAACTCTTTTACAACTTAATCCTACAACAGCCGATTGCTGGGGATGTGATTTCCTGAAACAGACCTTTAGCTCCTGGTGTAAAAATGAAAAAGTTGTTGAGGATTGCTAGTTCGGCTTCTTCTTTGTCTTTTTCTTTTGTTTGTTGTAGATTTTTCATTAAAGAAGCATCAATAAAGTAATTTTAAAACTGTTTATTGGAAAACTGAAGTGATACATTCTGGATTTGATTTGTGACGGGAAACAAAAGCACAGTTGCTCCAGTTGACCACTAGATGTCAGTCATCAGCATAACATCTTTAAATCATTTCTGAGTCTCTAACCCCGTTGCTTCGACCAATTACGTCATGTATTGAGCTCCAGTGTTTAAACTTTATTTTTTTAAAAAAGGAGCTCAGATTGTAAAGTAAAATAAATCAATACATACAAAATTTTAGTATGGATTACAAACGTTAACTATTTTAGCTATTGCCTTCCTGCTACATAAGCAGACACAAAGCATTGTGGGAAATCTGAACCCTGATCGGAACGACAGTCAGCAAGGATGTATACGTTTCCAATAAGTGTGTTTATCTGGGAGGGGTGCTGTTGGATAGATCACATGTTGTGATTCATTGACAGTCATACCTTCTGCTGTTCAAGATAATGATGACTGGTAGATAATTAGTTATTAGCAGTACTGCATTTTAATTTTAGAAAGCGCAAATCTGCTTATGAATTATAAAAATTTGTAAGACCGCTAAAGCGCAAACGAAATATTTAGGTCCACAACTAGCAGATTTGCGCTTTTGCGGGCTGGTGCCCACCACTGTTTTTGTTTTACAAGACCAAAAAAAAAAAAAATTTATTATCCACCCCTGAAGATGAACGTTGTTTTTACCATGTGTTTGTAAAGAAAGTAGCTGCAGGAAATTAGTAAATGTGTGCTCCTCTTCCTCCTGTCAGGCGTCCTGTGCCTCCTCGAGCACGACGAGGAGTACGTCTTCACGCTGCCCTGTGCCTACGCCCGCTCCATCCTCACCGTTCCCTGGGTGGAGCTGGGGGGCAAAGTCTCCATCAACTGCGCGAAGAGCRGCTATTCTGCCACGGTGACGTTTCACACGAAGCCTTTCTACGGAGGGAAGGTGCACAGGTGAGACGGTCCCATCAGTCAGGCTGCTGATAAGCAGATTATTCCTTTTAAATCACGTGGTTTGCTTCCTGAAACTTTGTCTCGGTTTAATGCTGCAGGGTGACGGCGGAGGTCAAACACAACCCCACCAACACCATCGTGTGCAAGGCGCAGGGCGAGTGGAACGGCACGCTGGAGTTCACCTACAGCAGCGGAGAAACCAAAGTGATGGACACGAGCAAACTGCCCGTCATCAGGAAGAAGCTGCGACCTCTGGAGAAGCAGGGCCGGACCGAGTCCAGGTAAAAACTGACAGTTATTTTAAAGTGGTCTGATCACAGGTAAGCTCTTTGGTTCACATCATCTGTACGGTTAATGGAGACATGAATCCCTGCTTTACTCTCGGTTCACTGATGGTGTTTTATGTTCTGTAGGCGGTTGTGGCAACGTGTGACCAAGTCCCTGAAGGAGGGCAACATGGACGAGGCTACGGAGCACAAACACCGCCTGGAGGAGAGTCAGAGGGTGGATGAAAGACAGAGAGCTGCTGCCAACAAACCCTGGAAACCCAAATACTTCACTAAGGAGGTTTGAACCAGTTAAACTGACCTTTGGTTTCGTCTGATCAAGACTAGATTTAGATTAATAGTTGAGTTTAAACTTTTTATTTAAAGCGTCCAATCCTTTGAGTCACTGGATAAGATCCACCTCCTGTAGGTTTGGCCTCATTAATTCTTGTTTCGCGTGCAGGGGGACGGTTGGATCTACAACGACCCGCTGTGGAAGTCCACCTGACATCAGAGCTGCCTCCTCTCTCTGAACTCTGCAGCCTCAGGCTGAGGTCGCAGCGTCCTCCTCAGACCTCCAGACTAACTGAGCAACACAAACAAAAGGTGCCAAAGGGATTTCCACTCAGAACCAGGACGGACTCGCAGGAATGAAGAACAGTTGTTTTTTTTAGTATTAGACTATTTCTATTTTCCGCTTTTTCTAAGGCCGCCTTGGTTCTCTTCACATTTGGCACTTGTTTTGTTTGGGTTCAAATCTTCTGTAGAACACCATACTGTAGCTGTAACAGACTGTTTATGAAGCACTTTTATCAGAAGTAAAACACCTATTTTTTACTGTAACAGTGTCTTTTACTAACCTGGATTATCTATCAGAGCTTTACAAGAAAGGGTCACAAATGTAGTAAATTATAGAATTATATATATTACAGTTTATAAGGAAGGTCCTGATCGTTCTGTCTGCACTATTAATGTATTTAGGCACTTTTTAATACTTTCCCAAACTGTATCAAGTCACTGTGACGTCCTTATTTTTTGTCATGTTAGTCTTCTACCAAATTGTTTCCATTTCTACCTCTCATTCAGCTCGAATCTGTTTTCTTTCCAAAGAAAAAAACTGATTTGTAGCTACAGCTTCTGGGTCTTCATGTCTGATTTGTGTTTATAATCAGGAAGCACCCCGCCTCACGTTCAGCCGGTGCCTCCTCCTTCAGGTCACCCATGTTGATTCTCATGGAGGTTTTAAAGAAACATCTGGTCCCACATCAGGGACAGCAGGTCTCAACTGGACTAATCAGAGGTCTGGTTTCACATTTTCTGGTTCAGTAAGAGTATATTCACAGCTGACAAACCAAGTGGCCAATTTTCAGATTTTTGTAAAATAAAACTTTACAAAAATAGATGTGGATGTTTTTCTTTATGGACCCCCTCAGGTATCCAAATATAAACAGTGCAATAGTTGGGATCTTATTCACTTTTTTTTTTTCTGAATGGAATTATAGATCTCAAGTTTCACCTCTAAAACAGGATTATATGGTATAACAGCATGCCATACAGACATTTTTAAGTGGATCAGCACTTTTTGCCTCCAAGCAGCCGGAGTTTCTCAGTCTTTATCACAAACTAACAGGACTTTAGCTGCTTTATTCCCTCATTAATTTTCAGTTCAGTCTTTGTACCAGAACAGCATAATTTATTTAAGTCACATCTTTAATAGCAAAGACCGGACATGTGACCAAACAGCTCAAAACTCGTCTTGTTKGTCGACAAAGGCTGGTTCACCCCAAAGATCCGGTKCCCCGGCACAAACAGAGCAATGTTGTATATGCTGTTAAGTGCCAGGAGGACTGCGACCAGTTATACATCGGGGAAACAAAGCAGCCACTGTTCAAAAGAATGTCCCAACACAGACGAGCTACATCTAATGGCCAGAACTCTGCAGTTTTCACTCATTTACAGGCCAGCGGTCACTCTTTCAGAGATGAGGATGTTCTCATTCTTGATAGAGAGGAACGTTGGTTTGAGAGAGGAGTAAAAGAAGCCATTTTTGTGMAGAAAGACCGTCCATCATTAAACAGAGGTGGAGGCCTCCGTTTTCAGTTGTCTCCCTCCTACAGCGCGGCTATTGCCAGTATCACTCCACCCCCTGTTAACAATAAGTGTTAATTAGGTGTCAACGATAGCCATGTGAGTATCAGTCACATGGAGGCAGTGCTTAAAAGCCTGAATTTTGCCTGAAACTCTCAGACTGAAGAAGTCTCTTGGAGGAGAGACGAAACGTTTCATTAGAGAAGAACCCGTCCAGAAGACCTACAAAATGTTTTTCTTTTTGTCTTGTTGGTCCAAAAAACTTCTATTTTGTGTCTCAGAAAATAATCTGACAAACTGCACTCTATACGGTTTTTGGACACTTTGGTAAGGTTGTGAGTCGACGACACAGTTTGGGTTAAACACAATCTTCAGTAAATAGTTACTGAACTGAAACTTAGTGAAAAATGCAGCTGACTTAAAAAAAAATTTTTTTTTGAAACTTTAAAACAAAACTCTGTTCTTAGAACAATACATTAGTGCACATCCAAAACTCACGTTTTTTTACATTGTGCAGGTGGAATAAATCTGTTCAGACATATAAAATCTTCAATTGATACCTTATCCTTAAAATACTAGTTAACATTTATATTTAGCACTTTTCAGCAGCAAGGCAATACAAAAAGACACTTGTAGACTGGACTTTTAGAACYAGAAGTGACCGTTCCTCCATAGTTAGATATGAAATTTAGCAGAGTCACCTAAACACACATTTATGTTTAATTCTTGTGCCGTAAAAACAAACTAGCTCAGCTGATCAGTGCAGGAAATGGATTCATAGTCTCACCTAATCTCAGCTGCAGTCGGCCTGAATCACAGGAAGACCCTCAGCTAAAGGCTAATGCTGCCACCAAGTGGTTCATTTTGCACTCACCTGAAAACAAAAAGGGAAAACAAACATTCTCAGAGTAAACTTTATAAAAGAGGCACTTACGCTGAGGCTTTGATTGAAGTGTATATTTAGAGATGGATGAACAAAATGTAAAAATGTAAACTTTGAAGCTGAGCAGGAACAAGGAGGCCGCACAGAGCTGCTGATCAAACCTCAGCAGATCGCTGCGCCGTTAAAGGAAAACAACCACAGAATGGAAGAAAAGAAGAACAAACTGCACGTCACATTAAGGCTTTAGTCTGAACCCCGGTCTCTCTCTGACAACAGGCTGAGGAGGAGCTGAAAGGAAAAGTTTCAAACAAAGACATATTAAAAGAAAAACTGATACTTAATGAAGCCACCTGATGTGAAAATCTCTTAAAGTGTCACTCATTTGGCAGAAGCGTGCACACACAGGAACCCCTTCATTTTTTTAAACCACAAATCAGTGCAGAGAATGAGACGTGTCCCAGCTGCATACTTAAATCCACAAAAAACTTAGTWACTCCACATGTTCAGAAATAAACTCATTTTATCAGAAACGATGTTTGAATTGGCTGAAAAAGTCTTAACCTTATTTTTTTCAGGACTTTTATTTTGAAATGGAAAAACAGGATCGCTGCTTCGATTCGCTGACATTTAGAAATAAAAGTTATTTTTAATCACTGAATCAAATTAAAGGTGAAACGATCTGTGGGGTAAAAAAAGTTACAGCTGAGGGTTATTTTTTGTTTGTTTTACTGCTGAAAACTTCGGTTTTCTTTACTTTAAACTGATCTTATGACTAAAAACATTGATATCAGGAAACAATTTTAGACTAACAAGGTTTTATCTTGTCAGGCTTCTGAACAGAAAAAAATACGAACAAAAATAAAAGGGCAACTGCCCTTATCCCTATAAATAAAATAAAAACTATTTTTTTTTATCTTTTCACAGGATTTAAGAATTACATTTCTGCACCTCATAATTCAAATTTGKTTTTTACTGACATTTAAAACAGCTCTGCTCTAATTTGGATGAAAATCAGTTCTAAATCAATTGTTGTAATAAAAACAATTCTCCAGGTTTATAAATGCATTTAAACAGTTTTAACATCGGCCCTTAAGTTTTCAGTTTATTTGCAACTAAAGAGAAATAATCACAAGAAATTAACATTAAATCATAAAGTTAGCTTTAAGTGAGCTTTTGGCTGTTGTTGACTTAAGTATGCAGGATATATTTGGGACACGGCTCTATATTTAAAACTTTTTTTTTTTTATCTGCTGCTCGTCTTTATCGGCTACATACAAGAACCCTCCTCACAATAGAGTTTGTGTATAAATATTTTGTAAAACCATAAAACAAAAACAAAAAACTGCAATGTCGACAGCAGCAAGGTGATCGTAACAAGGTTTTGTTGTTTGAAGAGCGCCCTCTTCAGTTCAGGAGGTCTAACTTACTCACTAGTTTTTCTTAAAAAAAAAAAAAACACACACAAACACCGGCTGCGTTGGTCTTAAAACACGAGCAGCAGAATTGTACAATCCACGCAACCTGTGGGGGCGAGAGAAAAAAAGATGGACGTAGAAATTCACATTCAAATTTATTCTGTCAACAAGTTCCGAAGCCCCTCAGTGTAGAATTATTGCATTCACTGTTTTGCTGTAATAAAAAAAGTAAAAATCAAAAAACTGCATATTTAAAAGTCACCACAAAGATCCAATATATTACCATCATTTCAGATTTTTTTTGTTTCTTTTTTTATAGAACATATTTACAGTTAGCCAATCTCTTTTTTTTGTTTGTTTTTAAAGATATTGTTGGAAAGGAAAGGACCAGAGAGCCAGGCAGACAGAAAGGAGAYGGGGATGATAAAAAGGTTAAGAATACAGATGAGTTGTGTAGATGGTGACGTTCCTCCATACCGCATACTGTCCTCTGTACACGCGTCAGGAACAAAGTCCTCAGCTTTAACTCCGGCCCCACCCCCCCACCCCCCCACACATGTGCCATGGAGCGAGGTCGATGGGTCTTTGGTGCAAATGTTCCTCCATCATCTCACGAGTCCTCTTCACCCCATCTCCTGACTGAGAAGCAGTTAAATCAACAAAACACGAAAAAAATTAATCAGCGCCGAACCAAGTAGAGCAGCCCTACGTCTGGCCACACATTCAAGTACAAATAAAAAACAAAACAAAACAAAAGGAGCAAAAAACAGACGTCCTTGGGACGAAAAACAAAGATTCAGTAGCGAGCCAGATGGGACACTTCCTCGAAAAATGAGGCAACCTGACGAGAATCTCTCCAGACCCAGTGCCAACCACCCACCCGGCCCCCCGTCTTCTTCACTGGTTCTTTAGAGGGTTTCTTTAAGCCTGTTTGTGTTCATCATCATCATCATCATCATCATCATCACTTGATTTATTTTTTGGGGAGTTTCTTGCCCTTCTTAAGAGCGAGCTTGTTCTTGATGTGTCCTCGCTTCCTCTTGGCAGTCTGGTTAAAAAAAAACAACAACAAATAGATTATCAACAAGACGAACATCTTTAATGAATAAATATAAGTGCAGATTGACTCAACATTGACAGGTGATAAATGAACACTGAAGATCAGGTTTTAGAGAAAAAAAAAAAGACCCAAATATAGTTAAAATCCAAAAAACAGTACTGTGCAAAAGTTTTGAGTCATTCCTCATTTTCTGTTTGGTTTCCAGGACTCAAAAAGTTTGTTAAAGGAGACCAATTATGGGTCCTAGAAATTTTTATGGTATGTCTGTGTGCTATCCAGACCATGTTCATTCAATTTAATGCACAAAATAATTCTCAGATAATAAAATTTCTCATTTTCTAGTTCTGCCTGCTCTGACTTCCGTTCAGAAGAGCTGTTTATGTTAATGAGCTCTGTTGGTAACGCCCTCCAAAAATCTGTTGACATTAACTCCGCCCTCCAAAGCCAGCGTTTACGTTAGCATGGCTAATAATAGCAGAAGCTCCGTTGTACAAGCATATGAGACCCAGAGGCAGAGTCGTGGTCGCAGCTTCTTCTTTTTTTTTCTCCCCCTCCTCTGCTCTGCSCTCACTCTGCATGCTGTTACCAGAGCAGGGAGCAGCAGCGGTCAAAATACCTCAGAAACTCGAACAAATAGGCTTTAACAAGGCCTTAATAAGCTAAACAATAGAGGTACATGAGAAAACGTGTTCATAACGAACTAAAATAAATAAATTGTATCCGTGCCAGTCTCAAACCCTGGTCTCCCACTCTCTGGTCCAACACTCTACCCATTGCCCTATTGGAGGCTTGTTGTGAAATGAGCTGCGCAATACACAACAACAACGTGACAGCTTTTTATACTGAGGAGGTGGAGCCTGAACGCAGGTTCCGGTGGGTTGTCGTATGGCTTGTGACATCACAAAATGACGGAAGTATAAAACTTGTCGTTAATGTACATTAAAAATACATTTACTTACAGTAAATATGCCCCTGGGTGCATTTTTTTGGTCCTAGACTGTTTTTTTAAGGACATACCCAAAGTTGAGCAAAAAACCCTTTAAAAAGTCAGTTTTGCATCATAGGTCCCCTTTAAGCTTCCTGAAGATTCATCTTTTGGACTTTTTCTTTCTACACTCACCAAGTCAAATGTTTGAGACTTTTCAGAGGAGCAACCTAACTCTGATGATTCCTCCTTTTATTAAAAAAAACTCAACCAGAACAACGAACCAGAGTTCGACACAAAACAAAGAACCAGTTTTKAATTGGCTCTTTAGGTCCTTTTGTCACCAGCTGCCTGTCACGAAAACTATTCTTCAGTAGTTTATATAAAAGATCACCAGAGAAACCTTGGAAGGAAAAAAAAAGAATAAATGTCCCCTTTTATAAGCAGGACGTCGATGTTTTTATCTCTCAAGAGCTGATAAAGCTTTTCTAAGAAACCAAAACATCACCATCATTTTCTTAAAAAATAAAAAAGATGAAAACGTAGAACTGGTCGTGAAAGCGGAGCTCACTTTTTTGGACGTGTACTTCTGTTTGGACACTACGCTGCGGAGCTTGTGGTCCAGGGCCTCTCTGTTGTCCAGCTCCTTCACCTTGTAGATCCTGACCAGCCAGTGCTCYGAGGTGAACGCCTCCTCCAGGTGCTTGAACTTGATGTCCTTGTTGCCGATCTCGGCGTTACGTGTCCGGTCGAAGCCGGGCGGTGTTCTGAAGTCCAGCTGGGAGAGAAGGAAAAAATAATAATAATTATAAAATCTTGAGATCTTGTTTTACACACGAGATGGAATCATTAACTGTTAGTTCAGCCTGAAGATGTTTGGTGAAATTCATGCAAATAAAATGTAAAAAACTTTGGCCATTAATTGTTTGTTTATTCATCTACATTTATTATTAATTTCTGCCTCATTCTCTTATATTTCAGCCTGATTCCAGGTATTTATTTCAGTCACACTGCTTGAAMTTTTGAATAAAAAGTCACTGAATCGTTTTGCATTGTATCCCTGTAAATTCTTAGTTCATTCACTCTGATTCATTCTGGTTCTGTTTTTCTTTGAACACGTAGCTTCAGTATAAATCAGATTTATTTTTAATTGCTTTGTGTTAAAAACCATGATAGGAGAGAATATGTGCAGACGAAGCCCACTGAGCTTAATAATCTGACACATCAAAAAGGTAACGACATGTTCCCGCTCATTTTAATAAAGTTACAATACTTCTTTGTAAAATGAAACCATCACTCCACAAGAGCTTAATGAGCTGAAAGCTGCATGTTTGTACATCTSATTTAAAACATTTCTTTTTAAATATTAAAGAGAAAAAAGAACCAGAGGGATTAAAGATGAAGAAATCCAGCTCTGCAGTCACAAAACCTGCTTTAATTCTCGATGTAAAACTGAAACAAAGGTTAAAAGTTCACGTCGTAATAACTTCTTGTTGCAGTTTTATCTTAAAGCTGTCCGATCAAAGCAAACATTAAAAACAAACAGCTGAACTTGCTGTAATTACAAAGATAAACAGTTTGACAGCTCTGCGGCGGCTCCCCTCTTTTAAAAAGCCTCTCGTGTCGCTTYTTCAGCTCTTTGATGCTCGTCCTTCAGCCTCCCTCTGTGGCTTCACCTCTATTCTCTCAGCTATAGGCTCCAATTACAGTCCAAATACATATTTTTAATACAAACTTATGTTTTAGAAGCGCTCTCTGTCCAACATAAATGATCTTTCATCTTTTCGTTTGCTGCTTCAGAAAGCAAAGGTTATAAAAACGAAGGCTTTTGATCTGAGTTCTACTGCAAACATAAAAGGAAATGAAAAGATAAAGTTAAGAATGTAAACGAATCATGATCTTGGTCAGTATGAARCAACAGCAGACGCCTGGAGGTAACCTTTCTGATTCTCTCTAAAGCCTCAGTTTCTATTTCTTTTTTCTATAAACCTAATTTTCCTCCATCCTGACCTCCGCCCCGAGACGCGCTTCAGTCGTGTGTCTGTGGACGCATCGATCCTTCCCTCTGCGCTGAACTGTCGGCCGAGCTGCAGCTGCAGCCGGGKAGGAAACACCTGACAAGAAGCTACGAGACGTTTCTGAACCGATTCTTCGTTTGACAGCCGACAGCCTCAGCTTCCTGCTTGTGAACTGCAGCTGCAGCAGCCTTCCACCTCTGGGTGAGTTCGAAACGTGTCCTTATTCCTGCCTGTCCTTTGATTAGTGAAAAAACCTTCTGCAGGTCAACAGATCACAGACTGTGCTCACTTCAAACTCCTCTCCTCACCTGCATTTCACCGAAGCGATAATATGACATCTTGTACATGAGGCAGTTGAGCAGAGTGGGTGAGCCCGCCTTGTCCACCCTGAACTCCCCCTGAGGAGTGAAGTAATCACTCTCCTGGAGAGCGGGAAAGAGAGAGAAACACAGGGGAAAAAAAAGACAAAATAAGTATTTTATCGAGTCTTCTGCAAAAAGAACCAAAACAAGAACTAATGTAAAGGTTTGAAGAATGAAAGAATATTTATTTTTACCACCAGAATCATCATAAACGGATTGTACTGTACTGAAAACAACCCAAAACAATCTGCCCTCATTTATTCATCCACACGTGTTCAGCTCGTGAATAAACCACTTCATTAGAGTCTGATCAGTGCTTTAGAKCAGTGGTTYCCAAACTTTTTATCTTCTRACCCACAAAATATCCATGGCAAAAACTTGTGACCCCAAACATTACTGGTCTGAGTACACAAACTTCATTAATAACCCTAAAAACACAGGCTTTTTGACAATCTAAACAGCTTATACACAAATATAAATATTTATACTTATTTTGTGTTTTTGTAATAATTATAGGGAAAATATTACATCAGCAATTATTTTATTACCCTTTAAATTGATTTCTGGTGATTATTCAAGGTGCTTCATGACCCATAATT